CTGCACCTGTTTGTTTAACTGTACCAAAGACATTCTTCCTTCCGTTGATTGTGACCTTGTACGAATTCGGTTACGCTCAGTAACTCCACTTGTAATCTGGCACGACCTTGGTATTCTTTCGATACCACAAGATCGCCAGAGAATACATCTTGATTACAGCCATCAACTGCTTTCTGATATTTGGCCTACGGGTTTCTTATCGGTTAACTGGCACGTAGTCTTTTTGTAGTGGTGATCAAAGTCAAACGCGACTCGCCTCCACACTACACATTCTCGAAGTCATTTCTGTCATGCCTACATGGAAACAAACAGACAGGTGAAGATAGTATTCCGTCTGAAGTAATTCTTTATTCCAAAAGACTACCAAATGGGTTGAGTTTTCTTGTTCATGGATCAGAATCGAAATTCATGGTGGCTCTTGGAGAAAATGCCTAATAAAATAATCAGAAAATAAGCGATTTTACCGTACCAGCCATGTTAGCGTCGAATTATGTCCGAAAGGATGTTAACTACCAGATAACTTACCTGACCAAAGGGGTGGTAATGCAATAGCTTCGCAAGCTTAGAAACAAGTGAACCATTTATTGTCAACCGTGCTAGACCATTACAAAGGTTTAAATCAGGTCATTAGGGACCATGCAGTGATCAGTAAAGTACCGTTATAAACTGTTAGGACCACTTGAAATATCCTTAAATGTTTCAACGAGTCCAGGAGGTGACCAACTGAAAGATGTTGAACAGGGATGAAACTTAATATTAGGTTAAGCTTGATTTCCGGAAGCGTAAGGTATATATATATCATTTAGAAACGGTGGAGATTTATAGTTTAGATGGATGACTTCAGAGTTTCTTTCTTCGATATCAGAGAAATAAACTATCTAAAGCTTTATGCATTTTAATGGCATTGGACACCAACATATTCTTCTAGCATCGGAACTTCAAAACGTATGCTGTACTTCGTATTTCACTGAAACACTAGATCAGTTTCTCTGGTACAAAATGACTTACTGCTACTGGATATGACTGTTAAGTATATGAGAGTCAACATGAATATCTCAAACATAACAGATCAAGATTTCTTTGTAAGTCATGTCAATCAACAACAATTTCTATCATTACTAAGGAGCAGGCTGAATCTACCGTACCTAAAAGTTATGACTGAGGAACCACGGGTGGATATGGATTACCTGACTACATTTTAGTTGCTGGGATCAAGTACAAACTCGTAATATTTAGGTTAATGATCTTGACTGGAAATTCAGGTTTTATTCGGTAGTGAAACCAGTAGAAAAGAATACATGCCTTTATTTCAAGAGTCTGTTACATTATATAAATGATTGAGTTCTACTCCAAATAACAGCTCATTTTCAAAACACAGCATCAGTATACCGACTAAGTTATAAATATTACAAATGAAAACCTAGTGGAGACGCGATATCTTGAAATATATCTTTTACAAATTCATATTTCAAGACAGTTTACAAAAAGGAACGAGGTTGATTTGACTGCATAAATGTAGTCAATATTATACGGTCAGCAGATGCAGCCAGCTCGTCTACGGCGTTGTTTTGAAGTGAGACCAGCACAGCTTGCACCTGTTGAGGAAGTTTGGATAAGAAAAGTTGTTTGAACAGGCCATCATTCTTTGCAACATGTCTGTGGCAGAACTGTGTTGCAGGTCGATGTTATTAAGGAGTTGGTCTAACCTTTGTCGATCGGTTAGATCTCCACATTTAAGGATGGATCGTTTAAGTGTTTTGTAGGGTTCTGAAACATCACTAGTAAACATACTAGGTGTTACGTACCTGTCGAATTCGCGCGGTAGTGCCTTGACTACTGCGAGGAATTGTGCACGTGTGTCGTTCACGCCGTGCTCGTAGAAGTCGGCTTCTGCATAGCAAAACCAGGCTTCGATGTTGTCTGGTCAGAAGGGCATTAGTTGGAACGAAGGTGGGGACATAGCTCTTAACTTAGGTCCCTTGGGTGTCTGTTCAGTCATGGTGAAATATCAAGTGCGAGAATGAACGAGTGGGAAATACATATATCCGAAAACACGGGAAAAAAATACCACAATGTATAAAAAATTAAAATAAGGCAATGATATGTAAAATCCCAAAAAGGAACAGACTCACAGTTTGCAATTCGGTGTACAGATCACGTAAGGCTCACCAATGAAGATGCCACAGGTATTCGGAGTTTGACAACGCTTTAACCAGTAACATCAAGTGAAATCAAAAGACAGGAGCGAGGAGTTTCGGAGATATATTTGATGGGCTATCATTACATCGAGGATCGTCCGATCTAACCTGGACAGCGATTGCAGCAGGTGTTGTGCACGTTGTTCGGATCACCACCTGGTTGTGGCCAATTTAAAACTGAAGCTAAAGAAGAACTGGACAACTGGAAAAACAGCGCTGCAATGGTTCAATACAGAAACTCCAAGCACAAGCTGAGTACATAGAAGCAAACCAGCAAGTGAAGAAGAGCATTAGATCCGACAAGCAGAAATACGTGGGAGAACCAGCAACGACGGCGGAAAATGCTGCAAGAGTAGGAAATGTGAAACAACTTTGCGATACAACGAAGAAACTAGCAGAGAACTATAGCAAACCAGAGAAACCGGTCAAAGACAAAGGGGGCGGTCCAATTACTGAAATTCAACAACAGCGGAACAGATGGGTAGAGTACTTCGAGGAACTCCTGAATAGGCCGGCTTCAATGAGCATACCGGACATCGAAGCAGCACACACAGATCTTCCTATAGGTGTCAATCCACCAACGACGAAAGAAGTCAGAATGGCCATCAGACAAATCAAGAGCGGGAAAGCAGCAGGACCAGACAATATACCAGCTGAAGCAGTGAAGTCCAACACCGAAGTAACTACAAACATACTCCGCCTTCAATTCAGGAAAATTTGGGAGGAGGAACAAGTGCTGATGGACTGGAAAGAAGGACACCTCATCAAGATTCCAAAGAAAGGAGATCTAAGCAAGTGTGAAAATTACAGAGGCATTACACCACTGTCAATACCAGGAAAAGTCTTTAACAGAGTTTTGCTGAACAGGATGATATTAACTCGGTTATTGGTTCGATTAATTTCACTTTCTTTTCTAATTCTTTAAGATAAACTAGTTTGGTATCAATCATTCTTAACAAATATTCTATACTATCCATTTGAATATCTAAAATAAGTTGAAATAAAAGAATCTTTCATAAGGATCAAATTTTTAATGTACTTTTATTATCAGTAGTATGGGTCAGATATTCATCTGTCTATTAAAAGAACATTATACTGCATGTATGTTCACTCTGATCAACTCTGAGATCAGCAAGCTGGATTCCGTAAGGACCGATCGTGCACAGACCAGATTGCGACACTACGGATCATCATCGAACAATCAGTTGAGTGGAACTCGTCACTGTACATCAATTTCATTGATTATGAGACGTTCGATAGTGTGGAAAAGAGAAGATTATGGAAACTTCTTTGACATTATGGAGTTTTTGAAAAGATTGTCAACATAATCCGGAACCCATACGACGCACTACAGTGCAAAGTCGTGCACGAAGGACAGCTGACAGATGCATTCCAAGGAAGGACCAGATTCAGACAAGGCTGCTTACTTTCTCCCTTCCTATTTCTTCTGGTGGTCGACTGGATTATGAAGACCTCGATATCTGAAGGAAAGTATTGAGTACAATGGACAGCTCAGAAACAATTGGAAGATTTGGACTTTGCAGATGATCTATCCCTTCTATCCCATACACCTCAACAAATGCGGAAGACAACTAGTGTAGTGGCAGCCTCTACATCAGTAGGCCTCAGTATACACAAAGGATAAATCAAGAGCCTCGAATACAACACGAAGAACGACATTCCAATCGCACTTGATGGAGAAACTCTGGAAGATGTGGAATCCTTCACATACCTGGGAAGCATCGTCGATGAACAATGAGGTTCAGATGCAAACGTAAAGGTGAGGATTGGCAAAGCAAGGACAGCATACCTTCAATTAAAGAACATATGGAACTCAAAACAACTTTCAGCCAATATCAAAGTCAGGATCTTCAATACGAACATCAAGGCAGTTCTATGGTACGGAGCTGAAACGTGGAGAACTACAATAACCACCATCAAGAAGGTACAAGTATTTATCAATAGCTGTCTACGCAAGATACTCAACATCCATTGGCCGGATACCATCAGCAACAACCTTTTGTGGGAGAGAACCAACCATCTTGCAGCTAATGGGGAAATTAGGGAAAGACGATGGAAATGGATATGACATACATTGAGGAGATCATCAAACTGCATTACGAGACAAGCGCTAACTTGGAATCCTGAAGGGAAGCGGAAAAGAGGAAGGCCAAAGAACACATTACGTCGGGAAATAGAAGCGGATATGAAAGGAATGAATAAAGACTGGAAAGAGCTGGAAAGGATTGCCCAGGACAAGGTTGGATGGAGAATGCTGGTTAGCGGCCCATGCTCCTTCGCGATGAGTAACAGGCGTAAGTAAGTAAGTAAGTAAGTACATAGAGTTTGAATTGTTCAAACGGTTCTGGACAAAATAGAGGAAGCTTTTTCTTAATGAATTTCCGTGTTTAGTGGCAATGGATATTGATAACTCCAGACAGGAACCTTGGTGCATTATTGATAAGGCAGGAAAAGTAAAAATGTTGACAAATCATAAGAGATTCTGCCTTTTGTCCTCAAGTATATGTAAAGTTTTCTCTTAGAGGACTTTTGAGAAGTAGCTTGGATTTGCTCAGCTGGCAGAGAATTCCAGCATTTGACTACTGTTAATGAGTATTAGATATGTCTGCAGTCCGTTTCGCGGAGTTAAGTCTCTTCAGTTTCCGGGTCTTTCCCCTTAGGTTTGTGAGCGTAATAGTTACCACACAAAATATTATCGAATAATTTAGGCTTCCTGTCCCTAAACCGGAAATCGGATAAAATTAGCAGGTCTATTTGTTATAGGAGTTGTTTGTTTGCTTCGACCTTGCAAGTATCAACTTTGTAAATTTGGTTCAAAACCGATTGGTGTGTGAGTGTGGGTTCATTTTTGTGGATGGTTCTCTTTTCGTTCAATGATAATAAGTGTTAAAAGTGTAAGTCACTAAATAGTCTGTTTAATATTATTGTATTTTTCAACGCAATCGCTTGCATTTGTACGGAAATGCACTTGGGATAGAAGTTCTAACAACTACATTCAAAAACTGTCTTATATGGAGGTCTCAAGTAAACAAATAACAAGGGTTTCACTAAGATTAAACCCTTCAAAGGCGAAAAAGTGCAGTTTTGTTTCAGAAAGTGAAGGTTACGCAAACAGTGAAATGAGATTCGGTTGTACAACCGAACGTACGTACGTACTGTAGAGCCAGTTAGTTTAAGAGAAACAATGATATACTTTTCCAAAGTAGCAATAAAAAGCTACTTTGGTATCAAAACTGTTAAGAAAAAGTATCTTGTTTGTATAATTTTAACATTCGGGTCTGAAATGTTAGAGAATATTACTAAATGATTAACCAGATACAGATTCATGTATTTCGCTGAAAGCTACACTTCAGGTGTGAGGGTTAAAGGTATTACCCAGTTGCCCAAAACAAAGTGGGGGAAGCAATTTCTAAACCTGCGACTTATTAATCAAAAGCCAAACCAATCGGCCGCCGCTTCAGAAGAGGGGTGAGAGGCTATTTACGGTAGTATTTCGAAAAACTGGTTTGTATTACATTGTTGATATACAACATACTCAGTATTCCAGACGTGCTGGTCAACTAAACAGTATAATACTCTGTTTCCCTCGTCCGGCCTACTATCCTTTCCACCTGACACGACTAACCTACGAGTCAAGATATTTTTGAAGCTACTTTTGTAAATTTATAATGTTTTAAAGTCATTTACTTTATTAATCCCAGCAAAGGAGCTACTTTTGGAAGTGACAAAAATGTGATAATGCCATTCTAATTTTGCTGTTCATCCATAGAGATTATGCATAGCGATCTATTCATATATATATTTAACCCAGTTTGATGACTTTCGTTTCCTAGCTTTGTACGTTGCTGAAATAAAATAAAATGTCCAGTTGATGCACGGGGCGATTGGGCACACACAAACCTAACCACACATTATAACCTTTTGAGGTGTTTCTTTTACCAACAGAAAGTCAATTATATTAGAACTTTTACAGAGATAAAGTAGTCTTTCTGAAAAGGAACGTAATGTTCCCCAGTCAGTAGTTTACTCACCACCAAATGTTTGTGGTAACAAAGCTAGCATTTTTAGATACTCCACACAAGTTTTAATTTTTCTGACAACAAAAGCGACAAATATCAAAACATTTTACTTGCTATACAGGAAGCTCATTGATTGGGTTCAGTAAACTTTTTTTATTATTTTTATTATTTTAACACATAAGTATTGGTACAAAGACGGACCAAATACATATGCGCCACACAAACCTCATTTAATTTGTGTGAGGGCTGTGATACTGCCCGGGTGCCCAAACCGAAGCAGGTGGTTTTCTTAAGGGGCCACACCCCTGCAATATGAATATCTTTATTTGATACAGCAACCAAGACAGCATAGCAATGGTATTAAAACAAATTTTGTCGGCGTCAATACGATTAGATTTACCAGTCACTTAATAATGGTACAGGATGGAAAGTAATATTTGGATATAAACCATTCAGGCTTCTCTTCTGATGCACGCCATATGTCACTGCGACCTTATGTTGCCTGGAGGATTTTTTACTCTGTACAATCAGTTGTGATACCAGGCAATTCTAGTTACGGCAAAAGTTGTCTGCTGAAAAGACAGGTTACACTTACAATTTGATGACTACAGTAAGTGATGAGCGTCTCGAAAAGGATGTTTTGTCGAGTCTACTCGTTTAATGGTTCGGTTTAATTTACTGTTTAGCAAAGAAAATATTTACATTCCGTTGGTTTATTCATTTATTTTACATGTGATTTTCTGACATCTGTGGTAGATTAGTAAAACCGTCAAGTTCACACAAATCTAAATTAATAGTAAGAAGCTAGCTATGCAAATCAAAAGGTTTATCACAATTCTTACTGAGCTAAGCAAATAATTATTTTCATTTTCAAACTGCAGACTGGCTAGAAGGTGGAATAATTCTCTTGGGATTCATGAAACTCAGTTCACATGACTACTGGTTTCAGACGAGCGTTGTCAGCGTTCATTTGTTTAGTGACAGGTCAGGTTGATTGATTTCCGATTGCTTGGATTATAAGAGAAGCAGTTGTCAGTTCACCATCAGTTTTGCTTTGCATGCGTTTAAAATACAAGATGTTCCTGAGGACTATTTTACTTCTTGCCTCAGGTCGATTTAAACGAGTTCTTTAAAATAAGCTTCGTCTAAATGTCAGCTTGAACCTTGCAGAGAAAATGAAGCTACGGGTCCTCAAAATCATGACATATATTAATTAGAAATGCTCAACAGCTTGGCTTTGGTGTTTCATACTGTGATATGTAGATACGTTTACTGTATTCCCTGACCAGAATCTGATTTTCAACATTAACTACTTCTCTTGATTTTCTTCTAATTTCACGCATTTCAAGGTAAACCACCGTACATTGCTCTGTCTTGTTTTTATCTCAAGAACTGTTACTCTACGGAATGTCTGTAAATATCGATGCTAATGTTTTTTTGGACTAAATAATCATCGTCAAAACAACCTAACCACTATCATTGTATCCCTATGTTCGTAAAATATTTCCATATAATTTGTATTCGTTTGTCTGTATACGTAGTACAATTTCATCTAGACGAATAGACGCCATGTGTCTAAAAGATACATGAGGAAGTAGTTGAACAATTTGGTAAGTAAAATGTTTCATTTTTCCGAGTGCCTAACCTGGAATGCTACCGTCCTCTGCGAAAATCAACTGTTCCACCATTTCATCTTCCAGTTACATGGGTCGATTTAGAACGTAAAAGAACACCTCTAGGATTTTCCGCTGAAAGTGATCAGGGTGATTAACTTGTTATCACTTTGTTTCACATACCAAAGTCTAAACAACCAAGTATTATCGTTATCTTCTGGAAAATCCTTGTGGTTTACTGTCTTCACATTTGTCGCTAAGTAGTGATTCTATAACAACCTAACCATTTTTGTTTATCCCATGAGACCACACTGTAGATAACCTAAATTAGTCAATACTAAAGGTTGTAAAACCAAAGTGTGTTAGAGTTCACTCTTCAAAACCTACACAGGTTAAAATTTCTTATAGTAATCCTTAATACACTCACATATCAAGGTTAATTAAAATAACTTTCGCAAAGCTGAAATCCTGTGGGAAGTCATCTCAGTATTATAATTTTATAGTCCATAACTTTAAAGCCTTTCATTATGGTAACCCACACCTAAAACTAATGTTTTTTTAAACTTTTTAGGGCCGTTATCGTCCATGGAATCACCTGAGAAGCAAACTCCCAGGTCTAGCAATGCATTTAAAAACAAGCTTGGGCGAGGTCGAACCGCCTCACACGTCAAGAGGTCTGATGATAGGACGAGTCGTTCAAAGGCTAGTAGACGTACATCTGTAGACTCAAGGAAAAAAAGTAATCCTAAATGTAGTAGAGGAAAAGCTTATGCTAAGGTGATTACTATGTTTAAATATTCAGTGATGTATACACTACAATCGCCTAGTAACTACAATCAACTAAGCCAGTATGTTTTTGTGTTTGCTGGAACATTTAATGGAACTCAGTGAGTAAACATTTTCTCACCTCAGAATGAAATTACGTTTGTATACTTAGAAGTCACGTTTTACATAGTCGCCAAAATCGTTTGTGTTTCGTCTGCTCAGATGGCTGTTACTTAGAGAGCATTTAGCGATTGCGATAGACATTCGTCTTAGCAGTCCCCTCTCCAATTAGAGAGAAATTGATGTCTTATGGTGTATGGTAGTGTATAATCTCCTACTTATCAGTCCATCAGTAGGCTGCAGGTCCAACTCTTTTCCCACTTCATTTGAAGCAGTCAGGTATTAGCATCAGCTTTTACAAAACCTATGTGACCCAGTTGAATACCTTTGCCTGGTAAATGAATTACATCATTGTTGTTACCAACGGGTTCCAAATAATCACTTCCTCCAATATGTAATGCTTCCATCTTATTTTTATTTGCTAATAATTTCGATTGTTAAAGTGCAATAAATTTTCGCAAGATCTCGCTTAAATATGGTCGCTTGTGAATCAGATGTTACTACACTATGTCTTCAATTAGTCATTCAGTTTCGTGACCCATAAACATTGACGAACGTCACGAATTGGATCATTTCATCATTTTTTTAGTATCAAAATCAATTTATTCCTAATCCCTATTGCATGTAAAGTTATGTTCTGGCATTACTGAACCCTAAATTTTACGACTTATTAATTCTTAATGATTACATATCCTTGTTTATTGCTCCAGCTTGTTTGCAGGATTTATAAGAAATGATTATGTTATTCCTAACCATGAAAACTCAACTATCTATTCAGCTTACAATTTCACGGTCTATCCTACAGAACAAAAAATAAGTACATATGGATCTATTCACCGAGAGCTGAATAACAAACATCAACTGTGTCTTACATAACGTGTATATGTTATGATAAAAGATGTAAGAGTAAAATCAGTCCTTAACTGTGCCTTATGCGGAAATAAATAGTCGTCGTGAATGTTTTTGTTTTCACACTTGAAATTCTCAGCTTAGTTTTGCACATACGTATTCACTTTTTTCCGCTTAAAAATTGTGTAAAATTTGATTGTTGTCAGATTACATGCTGAAAGTTGTGTTTTGTATCTACGCATTTTGTGACGAGGAAAGTGATTATTATTTACTAATATTCCAATCAGTGTAGCGATTCTTAGTTGGTTTAACATCCAACAAAATGATATATGTGAAATCACGTATCTAAATGTTTTTTTAAGTGCTCTCGGTTATCAGAGCTTTGTTTTACTTAATCGCACTACCTGGCTCCAATAACACATTTTGGGGTCAGTGAATGTAATCAGTCGTCACAACCTTTTATTTTGAACTCTTTGGGTATGTCTCAGGAAAATAAGGAAACTGAGTATACAGATCGATTGTTTATCAAGCTCATAATGCTTAAGTGTATATTCTTTCGATTTAATGGTTAAGACGTTCGACTTTCCGTCACTAAGTCTCGGATCCGAACCCCATTCCACCTTCGGTTTAGGCGATAGGGTAGTATCACTAACATCAAAGTACCCGGTGAATGAGTTAATTGTTATTATCACATCTTCCTGAAAACTACTGCTGCTATTCGTGTCAAAGTACAAGATTTTCGAACTGTATTACTGCAAGTAATTTTCTAACATTGAATGATAGCAAATTAGACTCGCATTTTACTTTTTTGTAGCTTATTCAAACCAAATCTCAACGTAGAATCCCGAATGGTCGTATTGCTAGCCGTTCTGCTTTGTACAGGTTAAAATGCAGAACTTCGCAGGCTGTGTATGTTACTAAACGACCATATAGGCGTCGTATTCCAGATGTCAATTCTCAGGCAAATAATTCAAAAGATATTTTACCACAAACTAACTCTGAGTTTGGTATCATTCCTACTGATGAAAACCCAGTTGAGCAGGTTCAATCGGTCAGCTGTTCCAACAGACCAACAGGTCTTAAACGAAAATACACTCGACGCAATTCATCTTCAAGATTTTCTTATACTAAAAAACCTAATGCTAGAAGTACACAGTCCAACTACACTAACTCAATTGTTGATTTTAATAACTTGGTTAAAAAACAGGAAGCATTTGTACGGGCTTTTGCTATCCCAACACACTTGTATAGATATCTTTCCCATCGTCATCGTGATCGTCCATTATATCTGGACCGTACTCTCAGCTACTTGATGCCAAATCCATCTCGTAAACAGTCGTCTGGTAAGTTAAAATCACCACCGTATTAATTTCCTAGGTCTACATAACAAGTGTGTCTAAAATTTGATTTAAATTTATTTTAATAACCGTAATCGGCAAAGCGACTTGCCAGCTTAAACACTGAATAGCTAATTTTAAAATAAAGGAATCAAATCCAGCTGAATACAAAGATACGTATCTTTTGGTATATTTAATATATGGCTAGCAGTGGAATTTAGGAAGCACATTCCCTCCCATTTGAGACTTGTCACCTCGATATGTCTCCATTCCAGTGTGAATGTTCATATTGAAACTTAAATCCAATATCTTTCTGTTTGAACACCGACCCGTAATCCACCGATCTACTGAGACGATGTAACCGCCAACTTGTTCAATGAGCTTAAATTTATCACGAAGGGTTTGTTATTTCCCATTGCTAATATTCAGAAGTAGAACTAATCAATCCTTGTTGCCTTATCTGTTTCCCCAACGAATTGTCTTTATGTAGCCTGTAATTACAAGTTTTAGGATATTTGATATATGGTTAGCGGTGAACAAGTTATTGATTGATACCCTACTGCCTAGACCGAAGTAAGTGGAATTTAAACCAGAAGCCTGCTTAATATGAATCCCGAGTCCTTTAACCACAAAACTATCGCCTCCACAAAAGTTATAACTTTCCTCACGTTTGTTTTTGGCAGAAAATATAACCATAACATACATTAAGTATTTTGATCAACTTGTAGTTTTTTATTGATCCAGGTTCACGCCGAAGCATAAACAGGATTGTAGAGCGTCTAATTGAAAGACGAAAAGATTGCGGACAGAACGATGAATTAAAGGATTCCAGTAAGTACTTAGAATCCATTTCGTCTTCCTCTTCAACTACTCCTGGTGAATTGCCTCAAGAATTAGAACTCGTTTTTGAAGGCTTTTACGATAGTGAAAAAGAAGTGGATTGGGTCACCGTGGACGTAAGTGCATTGTTTTGTGTTGAATAATATTTCGCATACTTATTGTTGTACAATTCAATTATACAGCGTCGGTTTTCAATTTTTTAACCATTCATTTAACTCTATAAAAATTTTATCTTTTACACATGTTTATGTAACAAATTCTTCATTGCTTAAATTAACTGGATAATAAATCTTTTGATATCCTTCAAGTCAGTCAATCAGTCATAGGCACATACAGAATCGGTCCAAGTTACCCCATCTTATAAGCATAATAAGATGAAACCATAATGAAAAATACCAGAGTAATTGAACTAGTAGCAACAATATCAGTGTTAATAGCAAAACACGTTAGACATTGTCAGTATACTTTGAGAACGAATGAATTCACAGAATAAAACTATGAAATAATTTCAAAAATGTAAGATCTAGTGGGTAAAGAGTATTGTATGCATCTGCACCATTTACAGTTGCTCCTAAACCATATTAACCAATTCATCCGCAAATATTCTATAAAGAGAGTTAGTTGCTAGCAACGACAACTAGTAATCCTTGCTTCCATTCTTCATACTAATTGTGGATTAAAATAAAATTTATCAGTTTTATGCATGCACGTGAGTTTACGACTGAAAAAATCTAAAATGGAAAGCGAATTATGTGAAATTAAATAGTCTTAGTTTTTAAGCCAATAATGTTCATCATTGATCACTTTCAAAGTCAAATTCAGCAGTTTTCATCCACTGTTTGTGAGTATGAACTTGTGTTTTATAATTTTAGTAGTCTTGAGTTAAATAATATTGTGTATTCATGCTCTTACTTAAGGGGTGAGCACACTGTTTTACTTTACGGTTGTTGAACGTGGTATTTGTAAGTAGACTTCATTCGTGAGTTACTAGTATTTAATTACAAGTATCTTTGGAACGTTACTCACATTGGTGAGGAAATATCTAGCGAGCTTAGATCAGTTAACATAGCAAATCAGTTAATAAAGCTTTGAATTTATTTTTATATTGCTGAACTAATCAACACTTGTGATTATAATGAGAATCATAAATCGTTGCACATAATCTATACGTAATCAAGTCGAACAATTAACGGGCATATGTTCTTAGAATGTATACAGTAAAATGAAACTACGCACACTCAAGCTCAATTATCCAAAGTGAACTAAAATTTCTCTACTTATTGGTAGTATCGGGAAGGTTTTGTGTAATTGATGAATAGCTTTTACTAGTAAATGACATTGATAAGCCATTCAGAAATATTTACCACAAAACAGCTGTTTTACCACTTCCTAGTTCAAGTTTAGTTCCTTACATGTGGTTTGGACAAAAATGTGTTTTAATTATATAAGGTGAAATGATGAGGCATGCTCTTATAAATTCTTCATTGACCTTGTTCGTATTGTCTTTTTATTGGTTAAATCGTGGCAGAAATGCAATTGGGGTAGTTTGTCTTAAAGTGATGAAATCATATCACATTCACACCATTTTATCATCGCGCCCAGTGTTGGTTCCCATTTCCTATGTAATGACTTAAGTTGCTTAAGCCTGTTACTCAAGTCACTATAAGGTAATCATGTATTTAAGTGATTTAGTTTTTAAATATTCAGATAACGACATCTTAACCTTTTAAAATCTAAACCACTGTATCACATTGTTTAACGCTGAAAAAAACTAGTTGTACTGTGCTTTCGGATATTAACACTAGCTCTCACACAAACTCTGACTTAAAGCCAAGTATATGTGTCAACCAAGTGTACTTGTTGTGACCGGCGGATTCAATTTAACTAGGTAAATAAAGTCTAGTGAGAAGTTAACTATGTAATTCTTCCATGGCTCCGCTTGTATCCTTTCTGGGGTTACTGTCGGTCCCAAGCCCGGATAGAAATGGGGGTTTGGGCATGGAGTCAGCAACCCCATCCCGTAGAAAACAACTTTTCTAAAAACGCTAGTTAGAAGAAATCATCTAAACCATTTAAACTGTCCTGAAGTTGAAGTATCTTCATTTAGAAGAATTATGACATCTAATGGCGAAAGTGGCCGATGCCCCTTTTAACAACCAGAGCAACAATTAACATAGGTACATAAAATGTCCGGACATTGTAGGAGACCGGAGGACCGGTCAAATAGATGTGGAAATGAGATATAACATGGCATACGCAAAGCTACATGGGTCTTACCGAATCACACTACAGAGAACCAAATCGATCATATTTACATCAGTAAAAAATTCAAGGGGCCAATGGAAGACGTGAGAACCAGATGTGGAGCTAACGTAGCTTTTGATCACTACCTGGTGGTTGCCAAGATGAAACCGAAGCTAGAGAAACACTGAAAAACTCGACAAATTCTAGATATTTCTCAGCAATAATTTCCAAGCCTTACAAGATCTACTCAAAGAAGAAGAAACTACTATGGATAACATTTGGAAAGGGATCAAAGAATCACTAACTTCAATGAGCCAGGAGGTGCTGGAACGATAAATAAAGAAGCACCATCATGAAGAATGGATCTCTACCGATACTTTAGGCAAGATTTAACAATGGAAAAAGTGACAGCAATTAAAAGCAGCCAAACAAGAGCAGAGAAATTCAATGCACAGAATCGAACATGAGAATAAAGAGGAGCATTAGAGTCAACAAGCAGAAATAAGTGGATGACCAAGCAGTGACAGCGGAAAACTCTGCAAGCCAGGGAAATAATCGACAACTATATGATAAAACGAAAAAAACTGGCAAGGGGATACAGTAAATCAAAGCGATCAGTCTCTGAAGCAGTAAAGCTCAACAAGCAGAAAGGAAAAAGCAAGGTTCTGAAATACAACCCAGAAATCACTAACCCAATCACACTTGATGGAGAAGCTCTAGAAGAGGTGGAAATTTTTACGTACCTGAACAGCATAATCGATAAACATGGAATATATGGTGCATATGTAAAGGCGCGGATTAGCAAAGCAAGGGCAGCATTCCTACAAGTAAATAATAAAAGGAACTCGAAACAGTTGCCAGCCAACATCAAAGCCAGAATTTTCAGTACAAACGTCAAGACGATTCTATAGTACGGAGTTAAAACGTGGAGAACCACAACCATCATCAAAAAAGTGCAGGTATTTATAAACGATCGTCTACTCAAGATACTTCAGACCTGTTGGCCAAATACTATCATTAAAAATCTACTGTGGCAGAAAACAAACTAGGTTCCAGCTGAAGAGAAAAAGACACTAAAAGTTGATAGGTAACACTTCACAGAAATCATCAAACTGCGTCACGGCACGAGACAATCCCTAACTTGGAATTCTTAAGGGAACAGGAAAACCGAGGAACATATTGTGTCGGAATTGGAGGCAGACGTCAAAAGAATGCGTATCAATTGAAAACAACTGGGAGGGGGAGCCTAGAACAGAGTTGGTTGGAATATCCTGGTCGGTGGCCTATGCTCTCGCGAGGGTTAACAGTCGTAAGTTCAAAACTACATCCTAGCAAATAGACCATGTTAGCCGTTTGCCGGCTCTTGGTACCAAATTTATACTCATAGATGTATATTGTTTGGCTTGGTAATTCATCATTATCCACCGTATATTTCACCCAGATATGTCATGTTGTTATCAACCATTGTTGGATAGGATCGATAACGAGCTAAAGCTCATATCTGTGATTTTATGTTGTTGTTGAAGTATTACAAGTTTTTTATGATGTTGAAAGAAAAAAGCGAGTATGCAAAGTGTTGGCATAACTCAGTCCTCATACAAAACTAAACATGACATTTTAATGTGAAAATCTAATTTGTATTAGTATTATTATTAAATTATTCTAGTTGCATAGTTTGCAATGCAGCCTTATTATAAATATTGGAATATATTGCATAAATAATTTCCCACATTTTTTCAAAATTAAGGCTTCTGTTAATGTTCATTTACGCTTTGGATGGGCATGGCGCCGTAAAATATGTCCAGATGATACAATTTTAAATATAACGCCAAATCCAATTCGGATAAATTGTTACAGTCATTCAACTGGTTACACTTCCCTAGTTAACTCACCACCCACTTCTAATAATGATAATAGTATTACTGCTACTACAAATACTATCCATACCGCTTGTCGTTTCTCTTTAACCGATCTAATTAATCAAGTTAAATGGAATACATCTAGTGGTCGTTTAACATCTGCTCAATTGGAGTTACACGTTTCCGCCACTGAACGACGTTGGTTAAAACGTCCCGATTTAAGTCACGGAGCAGTTAGTTTGAATGGAATTACTTCGAACATTTCAAACAACTTAACAAATCATATTGTTAATCATATAAACCATAACAATAATAGTAATAATAACCCATCCCAAAATTCGTCAAAAAGTGCTCATACTGATGGGAAAAACAACAATAGCCATGTAACATTTATCAATAGTAATCCATTGCGTAAAGGTGGTTTAAGTTCAAGTTCCTATCCAGTTCAATATGCTACAGCTCCATTACCTTTGATCGTATCTTCGATTGGTTTCGGTAAGTTATTAAAACTAATTTTATTATGTCAAATCGTCTCGTTATATTTTAGTTTTCATTTATAATAATACAAAATTTCCTGCTACGTTTGGCTTTTTTACTCTGTTTTACTTGCCGTTTTTTTTCAGTGCTTAATATTTCCCAATATAATTGATACTACATTATTTCAATTCGTTTACTATCTCATTGTGCTAATGTGATATGACAATTTCGGCCAACATATATATGAATTCATTATATTAAGGAAAGAATCGTATTTCTTACTGCTGTGTTGCTGTTGCACTAATATAAAGCTTTTTTGTCCTATGCTATCTTATCACTAACAGAAATCGAACTAAGTTTTAAAGAGAATACAATCTTGTGAAACTAGTAAACTACTGTGTTCATACGCTAAGCTACTATTTCGTAAATCCAATTTTGATACAGTAAAAAACACTACTTCTGTCCTCTTCTATGTCTCCGCGAATTAGAGTGAGATGTCTAGTTCTGTGTATAAGTTTTTTTGATATGGACCCTCAGATGAATTAAAAATACACTTAACCAATTACACATTATTACGATATAATAAGACTAATAAATCCTATCTGCATTTGTTAATTAGGGTAATCCAAATAGGTTATTGAGTGTTGTTAGTCTTATACCTAACATTTTTATTTCACTCAGTAAATTGGTAACGTTTTTAGTTTATTCTCAAGTGGTCGTTTTGTCTGTCGAAGGAAAGTAATTACGAACTATAAAAACAGCGGGTTAGGGTGAAGGATTAGAACTGCCCCCAAATGCCCTGGTACGGCCGAGAGTGGGGAGAGTCCGCTCTCCCTCTCGAAATGCTCTCACATGGCCATGCGTATATAGCCTCTGCCAGGGAAGTTCTACTCACTGCCTTCTCGTGGCGGGGGTGTTGTTAACAAAAATGAGAGGACGAAAAGCGAATGTCCGGCGCTTTAACCGGACCCCAAATCAATGGTGCACATGGGCTCCAGTATCCTGAAGGAACAAATGGCGTATGAACCAATCGTTGGTCACCGGCTACCATGGGACTGCATCTCCTCACGATGCTCCACTGCCTTGTGGGTCAGACGTCCAGGTCGAAGGCTCGGGGTGTGGCCCCCTAAGAAAACCACCTGCTTCGGTTTGGGCACCCGGGCAGCATCACAGCCCTCACACAAATCAATTGAGATTCGTGTGGCGCATATGTATTTGGTGCCTCCCTGTACCTATACTTATGTGTTAAAATAAATAAATATTAAGCTTCAACTTAAGAAAATGATGAATGAACGCATCTACGTCAATGCCACTGGTTTCAAGTAGTGTAACCTCAAGCATGCAATCATAGATTGTGATTATTTCGCGAACCCTAAATATAAAGCCTTTGGTTCATGGAACGGTGTGGTGCAGTAGATGGTAGCTTCGTAATCTGACGGCTTGATATCTTGCTCCGGGGTTACATATGTTAGGTGTTATGTCCTTCAACCACGTACAAGACTCAACTGTATCTACTTACCTGACCTCGCATATATAGCATTACAACTGCGCATCATACTATTTGCATATTTGAGTGTTTAGTTTTCAATTCTCGTGTACTTCACAAGAGTGAAGTTTGAAAACGAAATATTCTCCTGTCGGGTTTTGATTGACAATCTCATATTCCCTATCCGATCAAGTTCCTTAGTGAAACGTAGAAAGATTACAACAGTTCTTGTGATCTCACTTCAGAAATAAATAAGTTTTTCAGGTAGCTTTTACACTCTGAATTAATTTTGACTGACTTATAAGCTATATTAATCAGTGGTCATCCTTCTCAGTTCGTTTGCAGTTGATATTCAACTCGTTATTGTTGATTCTTGAGATGAAACAGTGCTGTTGCATACTGATTCTTGAGGTGAATATTGAAATAGAGCCTGATAAAAACCCAATAATTAATTCAATGTTAATTGTTCTTATGCAGACGCACATTCTCATTGTTGAAAAGCCTTATTGACGAGTCCCAGCTAACACCAAAACTCCTAGGTCCAGTGCTCATTGTCGCGATTCCCTACAACCTCTCAAAACTGAACAAAGTTCACCACAATTTCTAGTTTTCTCCACAGACTAGTAACTTCTGCCACTTGATCTGTAGAACTCAGTAGTAATTAGGACTGAATTAAATGAGACTTCGTTATTATTGTGTTACTAATCAGTATGTAAATCTTTCTTACAAGAGGTCAGTCGCAGCTCGGATATCACCTGGTGGTGACATTTACCTGTAGCATGTGTTGGAAGCCTACGGGTAACGGTCTCTGAGATTACAGATAGGGCTTGTTAATAAATCATGACCAACCCGAAATCTCCAGGTTCAGGGCTTCCTGTCGATCATACCTTATCATCCAACGCTTGGATTTGTTTTTTTAACTCATTTACCAGATAGAGAATTGTACACTTGGCTTCAAGCCACACTAAATGTGAAGGCTAGTGGTGCTACCCGGTCACCTAGGTGGGTCGGGGTCCAAACGTGCGACCACTGAGCCACCTCTCCATACACTTTGATACTACTTAGGTATTCAAGAACTGGTCAGTCACCTAGATTTTCTAAAATATATGTAGATATATATATTCTTGTAGGTGTAACGATGCTAAATCAGTTTTGAAACATGTTCTGATTGTATAACCTGCAGAGTTCAACACTATGTTGCTTACAGTTTCGTGTTGATATTCGTTTACCTCCGCTTCGTTCTTTATATAGTGAAACAATATCCATGCGATTTTAATTAATATTTTTATATCCACCTATTATAGTAGGTTTTGATTTTTTTCGTTTCTGCATTTCGAAAAAAAATGGTTTAGATAGCCCCAATACCGGTCGTCAACTGCTTCTGACTCCTGGTTTATATGAATTACGCCTTGGTGTAGACACATCCGACGGCAATGGTAGTAATGGTGGAGTGATGAATAAAGTTATACCATTAAAATGTTTGGATGACAATGTAAGTGAAAAGTCATATGTTTCGGCTAACAACGACCAAGCAAGTGACACGTGCTCTAGTCAAGTTGAATGGAGGCGCATTCGGTTTCCTAATTCTTCCACGGCACTAGATGAGTATTCTCGATGGCCTCGTCTTCGATTTTCTGTCATATGGCATAATAAATCTGAAAATAATCAGATCATTTCACCTTGTAGATCAATGGAAACTCGAAGACAAGATAATACCCATATACATGCGGAGGGTCGATCCTCTCTTACACGTTCCATGACAAATTCTCATAATCGAGATGTAATCAAGTCGCAAAATCAGTCTGCCACACCGCATAAACAAATAGTTTTGAAGGAGTCTTGCGATTCTTCTGTATTCAAAGATTCAACCGGTTTAGATAAATGTCTTTCTAATCGTGTACAACAAAGTCTCTCTGCTCATTTTGGACCAGATGTTAATAAGCCCACGTCTACGAAGACGCCACACTTAATTCATCCAATCACGTACGGTTTTGTATTCGGGGGTAATTTACAACAATGGTCCCAGTCCACTGATCTTATTTGTCCGTGGTGCCACTTAGATTGTGCTCGTGCTGGTGATAAAGGTCCTGAAGCCTTGATTCTTCATCTTCGAACTTGTCATCCAAGATTTCGTCTCAAGGTTATGTGGGATTCATCACATACACAGTTAAGCCTACAAGTTTCATTAAATGAAGCATATGACGGTTCAAATGATTGTGGTATACGTAGATGGTGTCCGAGCGGTCGGAATATTTTCATTTTACGACATCATGTCATTCCATCATCTGGTCAGTTAGTCGGTAGTTGTGCTGCCCTAGGTATAAATAGTAATACCAAGCAGTCAGGTAATCAAGGTCGTCATTCTATTTCTCCAACTCTGATTGATGCCACTGTTCGAATTCGTTGTCCTGTTCGACGATTGCCGTACACACATTTGATATTTTGGCGTGGTGCTGAATTATCAACTGATCAGGTCAGTAATGAGTCTTTCCGCATAATTTTATTATTTTTCTATAGATACCTATGAAACTATCTTGATAGTGCATGAAAAATAGACCACTATTATTATTATTATTATTATTATTATTATTATTACTATTGATTTCTCTGAAAAAATATGTGTATTAATCCAGCTGTGTTACTAAAATCAAACATTAGTCGACGAAATTACCTGCTACTAATTGGGCTATCAAATGAGTAGTATTGTATTCCTATACTCTTCTCACAAAAATTTAAATAACAAATTTGTGTAAATCTAAGCGATATACAGCTAACTCAGAAGTCCATCACAATCGATTAGTCATGTGCAACGTAGAACCTAATACTAATATGCATCGGTTCAAGTTGTAATACCACATAAGCACAATGAGATAAAATTATCAAGACTTACTTAAGAGTAGTAGAATTAGAAACAGTATCATTAGTGGTAGAAAATATTAAGTGCAGAAAAATATTAAAAAAAAGTATAGGAAGATTTCGGGAAGCAGGTTTTGATGGAAGAGTGAACGCACCTGGACTATTGCAAACAGTTCTTAGCCATATCACCTGAAGTCTATAACCATTAATTACGATAATTAGACCGATTCCAATTAGGTTGTTTGCACTTATTAACATGCCTCAGTCCAGTTATCAGTGACTTCACAAACTGGTACCACGTCTTGGTTTGGACTACCCTATCTTTGTTCCAGCCTACTCTTAAATCAGCAAGCATCTCGCATTAAGTTAGGTGTTAATTGGGCATACGCAATGCATGTCCCAACTGCCTCAGTTTATAACTTACCACATCAATTGATTCGCCATTTTTTCGTGGTACTATATGCCTAACCTCAATATTTCTGACTCAGTGGTCCCAAAATACGCTAGCGATACTTTTTAGACATCTAAGATTAGACACTAGTAACCCATGAATATCCTCTATTCTTGTTGGTCGTGCTTCAACCATAAAGTAGAACTACTGTGTAGTAACCTTGTCATGTGATTTGCAGACGGTTATCTCGTTTACATCAAAAGTTACGCTAGTTGGTCACAGGCGACCGGGATTTTTCAATCCGTGCCGAGATTTCCTCAGACACTATCTCATCAGAGGTGAGAGACTCCCAAGATAAGTGAAGGTGTCGGCTCACTCAACCACTTCACTCCCTGTCATTAGCTTAGGTGTTGATGCGGCCCAGTCCTGAAACATTTTGAGTTTAGAGGTAGAGAATCACATCTCAAACGTGCTTACACTTTTGCTTAAGACTATTAGAAGACCCTACATTTAATCAGCTATCATTTGCATATTTTAAGTTAACAAGTGAACATCCGGTAAGGAAATCAGCCGCTGGAAAGCTAAATATGGGAAGTATTATTTTTCTAGGAGATCTACAACGAAGTTTAATGAAGATGGGGAAATTGGCTAGCCCTAACGAACGCTATAAGTTTGAAAATTCTGTTAACAGTTCACCATAACCTCTGACTCCACTGAGAATTTTCGAGTAGAAAGCCTGTATAAAGTTGATATAATAATTTGGTACGCTTCTTAATGGCGGATGCCAACACAGAATCTCTCAATCAACAGGGTCAAACTTCAAGAAATATGTTCATATTCCAGAGTATGCCTAAGGGCGAACATTAGGTTGATACATCCACACCGAGGTTAGAATCCGACCTGGTTTTCTCATCTGAGCGTAATTGCAACAGATGGTTGCCATTACCTGTTCACCGAGCCGCAACTCCGTAAGATTTACAGAAGTACCTTTCGGCTTGGTTTACTCTACATACTTGGGCATTAAAACCACCAGACACTATTACATCCGAGAGTTTAACTTTTCCGAAAGAGGTTTGAAAGCTTCACATAAAACTCATATTACACTTTATTCCAGTCTGAATCAGTGGGAGCGTAGACAGACAACGAATGGGCGACGGCGTCTGTCTTGATCTCTCCGAGTCCTTACAGTTCCGTTTAGTCTGACAGCGCACAAGCAACTGTCCACTCGAATGCGTGATGATAAAGATATGCGCAAACTGTTAGTCGTGGGATAGGAGAATCAATATTAGGTGATAGAGGGTTTTGATCATGAACAAGATAATCTCGGGCTCTATTAGAGGTGTGGGAGCGGTTGTAACTTCCTGGCTACTCACCCCATGGGAGGATATTCTTGAGGAACCTGGAGAAAAAGCTGGGTTAGTGGTGATCTTAATGTCCTGGGAGCATTGTCACACAGCCCAAGAAAAAAAATGTTTGAGATCAGTTGCTCATGGTCTTTTTATGGGAGGTTTTTGGTGTATTAGCTCCGTACTTCAAAAGCCTTTACTATCCGAGGCAGAAATCCGTGGGGTAAGGTGACGTGTGACATATTAGGGTTGATCTTTCTTAGCCCCTTTTTTCCTTTGTGAGAAGACAGAATCGCTGCAGATGCTAGTTGTTTGAGGAAAACGCCTTGCTGTCGTCACACCCTACTACAGTCAGGAGTACAATTCCACATTAAGTTAGTGCTTTAATACTCACCGTTCCTCAACCAACCTTCCTACCATGATTGGACCTCCAGAAAGAATTCCAGATAATATAGTTCGGTTGAGACTTCACAATGAGCAAGCCCAGCCACCACGTCAAGGTAGGAGCTACAGTCGAGAATCATAGGTATTAAATATATTTTATGACTTTCTCCAAATGAATTTTGGTGTTCGTCGCTACTGTTAAATGACTCGGCAATTTAAACTATGAATATGCAATTATGTATTCAGCTTCATGTTGTTCGGTTTATGCGTACATTTGAGTTTCAGTTCTCTTGGCTCACAGAAAGATGTTGAACTTCACTGCATTCTTCCGTTCGTTATTACAGCCTGTTTTAAAGGTGTTAAAGAATTTTTAATAGAAAAAGTAAAGAACTGGTTCTAAAATTTAGAGGTATTATTTGGATTCTACTTATCTCAGCTCGTCATCGTATTCTATTCTACCCATCTTCTCAGTACAGGTTTATGCATGTGAGCTAAGTGATCCGTCTATTCAGCTACTCAAACCGAATTAAGGAGGGTAGGTCTCGAACCGGCGACCTGCATGTTAAAAGTCTAGTATCCTGACCAATAAGTTACTGAGACCTAGTATGTGTTTTAGACTATCTTCTGATATGTATTTTATTCATATTCCACTGCATGTCGCTCATATATAAATGTACAGGTTTTGTGTACACAGTTTGTACGGAAAAGCTATTTAGCCGCCCTAGCCTGAAGTGTGCAGACAATGGCGTTCGAATTTCCAGTCTACTATTTTGAATCAGTTGAATCCTCCTACCATATTCCGTAACATCTTATCAATTTATTTATTTATTTAAACACGAACATTGGTACAAGGAAGCATCAAATATATCTGCGCCACACTTCGTCATTCAATTTGTGTGACGGCTAGAATATTACCCGGGCGTCCAAACCAAAGTAGGCGGCTTTCTCATGGGGTCACTCCCCGAACCTTTGATCTAGAGGTCTAATCTGCAAGGCAGTGGAGCAACGTTGGCAGATGCGTTCCCGTGGTAGCTGGTGACCAAGAATATGTTTATACGCCTTTCGTCCCCTCAGGATCCTGGAACCCATGTGCTCCTTTGGTGTGGAAACAGGGTTTTTCGACTCTCCTTTGTGGACCCTCCGTATACACCAACTTGGTTGAAGCACCGGACATTTGCTTTTCATCCTCACAATTTCGTAAACAACACCCGCCACAAAAAGGCAGTGAGTAGGACTTCAAGGGTAGTGGTTGTATACGCATGTTTATGTAAGAGGATTTTGAGAAGAAGAGCTGACTCCCCTTCCTTAGCCGTACCAGGGCATTTGGGGGCAAGGTGTTATCCTACATGAAAAGTCGTTTTCTTCGTGTAATTGATTGTCGGTGAATCGTACTGATACCCTCATAACTTGAACAAGTTAGTGGCTGTATATCTGGGCTCATTAGTAGGTTAGTGAATCACAACAGGCATTGGTTTCGAGTTTCAGTGTTAACATTACACGGATCTATGTGAATAGAGCTGATGAACCCCACGCAAGACGAAACCTGCACTCTGGATTCCATTACTAGCTAAATGCATACCAAACATACTAAAGCTCTTAACTAGAGGGTTACACTGATAATCCGCTTAGAACACATGCCGACAGGCTGGCCAATCGCAGTCCCCAAATATCAAAACATCGCGAAATTATTGATCCGTACCAAAAACATTCTCGTGTCAACACCCATTGCATCAACATATTTCTTATTTATATTGTTTTAATCAGACCAATTTCCATAAATTTTAATATTCTGTTACTTTCTAAAACAATGCCTTTTATATTTCTCGTTGATTTTTCTTTGTTTTTCGCTCACTTATTTCCACACACACATATGTGTACCTAGTTACTTGATCCTACATTATCGGTACGACCTATGGTCACTGGACATAATCGTATTTATTATCATACGCGTACATCCCAGCCTGTTCGTGCTTGTGAATTTGATGTGGACTCTGAAGCGGAAGATGCTCCAGTCTGGCTTCGTCAACATTATCAACGCAAAGTGGAGGAGTTCACCGATGTGAATCCGGTCAGTGTTTTTTCTCACTTCCTCTCTATGTGCCTTCAAAGCGTTTTCTACCTAATACCATTGTAATAAATCTATATTAAACAGAAAATGGGGAGACATACTGCTATTAATAAGCCATTATGGACTGTTGATATTATTTTTGTATAACTTAGTATGAATTTATGGCTACCTTGTCACAATAATTGTTCTATTGTCTCCCTATGTGTATAGAATTTGAGATAGCTTTACTATAAGTACAAAGAACTAACAAATTTTCACGCCAAGAATTTTGTTATTTTAACACTGTGTGTGTTGTTGTGATGTAAACGAATCTAATGTATATTTGATACATTTTAATTGTGGTTAGATGCGTCATCGAATTTCAGAACTGGATAACAACAGCGCCTATTTTATTTAAAAGTGAGCTCAGTTATTCCACAACTGTTAAATCGTTTGGCTCTGACCCATTTGGTTGTCTTCATTTTTCCTGTTATTTGAGTTGACTATCTTGTTCGCTTAATCTGTCACCATATGTTTGATCAATGCTTCAAATTCGGATACACAAATTCAAAAGCAGCAATTAATCGAAGCTATATTATCACTGATTTCAGTGCACGTAGACAATCATATATGAATTCAATTGGGCTAACTTCAGAATTGTGGACCAAGAGAATTCTAAGAAGGCCAGTTTATTTGTAAAAGTATGGTATTCATATCAGTTGACTTATGTATTCATTCTATCAATCTTTTCGAAAAGGATTGATCAAACACACATCGTTAGTGATCAGCTGATCGAGACAGTCAACTTGATTACAATGGTAAATGAAGGCAACGAATCCTACGAACACACACAAATCGCAAACAAGAATGTCAAATCAAACTGCTTTAAACGTTATGAAATAACTGAGAAGCTCACTTTTCTATGGAATAGGCAGTAATGATATTGTGTCTGTAATGGTAGCAAAAAACTCTGCATTTTAAACCATCTCATTCAGCTAACTCAACAACGCTAAAATTGTTCAGTTGAACTGTAAATAGTCACTATCATTTCGATATTGTTTGTTAGTGATAGTGATATAAATTGTTCGATGAATTATTATTTGTCTAAATCCCAGTTCTAAATCGTTTATGCAAAAACTTGCTGGATATTCAAGCAATAATTTGATGAACCCTTTCAAAATATTTAAATTGTAAATTGATTTGAGAAAAACTTGTGTAGATTTTTCTTATCCGAATCTCATTGTTAGTTAAATGTGGAATTCTTCATTCCACTCATATTGTTTATTTATTTATTCAGGGTGAAAAACAAATTATGCAATTGTGGAATGCTTTACTACTATCAATTCGTCCATCCGGTTTAGTTGTTTGTGATAGTCAAGTTTTAACATTAGTCTGTCAATTTATACATCAACATAGTCGATGGATTCATAGACGACGTCTACGTACTAATCTATTATTACATTTAGTAAATCTTGTTGATTATGGCTTATTGTCATCTAGTCAATTACGTCAATTAATGTTAATTTATGATAAACATGTAGAAGAATTAAATCCAATCAACAATACATTGGTGAATAATAATCACATGGTTAATACACAACCATTATCATCTCCATCAAATGCTTCAACAACATCTTTATTACCCGACTCTAAATTAGTTAATCATCATATTAATAAGTCACAACCAATTATTCCGCGTCTTCTTCAGATGTTCTCTTCAACATCTAATTCATAGTGCAAAAAAATGCAGTGCTGCTTACACTCTTGTTTCCCAATTTGTATACTCCTCCCCTCTATGTATGTATGTATGTGTCCGTGACATTAATTCTTAGAAATTTTCGAGAGACGGATGTGTGTGTGTATGTGAATCGATGCATTTTTTTTATTTACAGATGTTTCCGTATAGGCCAAATAAATTGTTTTTTGGATTTTTAATTTTCTTTTTTTTACAATGAAATCACACAAAACAGTAATTATTCTCACACAATAAGTATGTCTGTGTGTACGTTTCTTCTCTTCTTAGAAGGATGCTCAATTTTTTCTCCACTTTTCATCTTTCCTGTGTGTTTTGTGTAGTTATTCAATCGTGTAAAACCTCAACATCATTTTGATTGTTTTGTATTTTTACAAAAAAATTTCTAGATTTTACAAATTCCCAGGGTCTACATGTTTGTCTATAAACTTACGTACGTACAACTATATGTAATTATTAACGATAATGTGATCGTTTTAATTTTACAAGCTATTTGTATTTCTGTAGTGTGTACAAGTGTTCCTTCCACTCCCCCTTCATTGTTGATCGTTTATTGAATATCACTTTTTCCATTCAACAACTATCCTCAGGGGACGTTCATCTGCTTAGTTCCTGGTAGTGTTTTTGGTCCCTTCTGCTCTTTCATTATAATATATATGTGTGTGCTTTCTATTCAACTATAATCTATCTTTTGTAGCCTGTTCGTGTGCATGTATATACATACGTATGTGTCATGCATATTATTTCGTCAATTGTAATAACAAAACCCTAAAAGTCTGTGCCTTCATATTGATGATGAATTTCTAAAAAAATGATGAAGAGCAGTCTCATATTATTATCATTATTACTAGTATTATTATTATTAATAGAATTATTCTTATTAGATTTTGTTTTCAAGAATACAAATGTACCATGTATGTACGTGTGTATAGGTATTCAACAACTTTCTTGTATATTACAATTGTTTATCTGTTCAATTATGATTGTTTTCTTTTCTCATGTATAATTCAACTGTGAGGTGAAATGTGTATTGTAAAGAAGATAAGCGTAAAAATAGTCAAGTTCAAAGGCTCATTTATATTGACAAGAGAAAATAATGTAATTACTATTATTATAATTATTCTCTAGGTAGGATTTTTATTGTCCATTTATGGTTATTATGACTACTATTATTTTTAATTTTTTAGTAAGGTATCTTTGTTCTTTTTTCTGCTCTGAAATTATCAGAAGTGCAAAGTATAGTTTAACGAATAACTGACCTGTTTAGTCGTATTTTTCTCCTAATTCAATGAACAATGTATATTATTATGTCATCAAAAATATTTTTCTATTAGTATTATTATGTAATAACCGGTCACTGTCCTCGTTGTTGTTGTTTTTGCTGTTGTTATGATTAACTCAGGCTTGTTTGTGTTTCGCACATATTATGATTGATCTTATAACTTTTTCTACTTCCACTCAATAACTATTAGTTCAATTACATTTTTTCCGACTTAACATGTAGCTATGATTTTCTCTCTGTGTGTATGTACGTTTTCCTTAGTATACAGGATAAGTTTATTTTCGTCTCGATTAGATTTTGGTCTCAAATCACTTATTCCGGTTTGCTTATTTACTTTGACTATTCCAGATGATGACAACGCGTTTCGTTCTTTATGTTTGTATGTTTTAGGAATATATATTTGTCTCCCTGTCCCTCCTCCTTCTGCTTATGTTTATAGGAGTTTTTTGTGGCGCATTGAATTGTGCGAACACTTATTCTTTTATGATTCGTTAATTAATTTTTTCCTATGTACTTAGGATTTATAAATGTAATACGTATATTAGCTTTAATTGTCATTCAAACAACTGATGAGCAAATTTTTCTACATACACATATATTTATTTACTGTAACGCCATCTTCATGTTTGTACGTGTTTTCTACATCCTATTCTCATTTCTTTCCTTTTCATTCAATCATCTTTGTTTATCTATTCACAGGAAACTGATTCCTAATGTTGTCCTATTTTAAATTCTTTTGGCAGCTACCTGTTCTTTTATGTGTATATGATACGACCATATTTGTGTGTGCATACACACACGTACAACACTTTTGATATCTGTAAGACTAATGTTTCCTTTTTGAGATGTTATCCCTCTATGTTTGCTTATCGAGGAAGTTTTGTGCGTATGTATGTATGTTTGTACTCGTTCCATCTCAATTACCCTTTACATTTTATACTTTTTTCAATATAGTGATAGTAACAATTTTTTGTAAAAGATGTTTCCATCTACTTTTTTATACTCAAACGTATATATACATATATATGTTTAGTTATTAAGAAGGGTGCTTGATGCACTGTATAGGCTTTTCCTATTTCAAAATAAAAATTTCTTCTAATTATTTATTCGTATTTGTTCTTGTCCATAGTTTTATGCTGTGATTGTTTTCGCCTCATTTTTTCGTAATGTTGTCGTGTACGCTGTTGTTGTTTAGTGATGATGATTTAACTTCCATAACGTAGTAGTAGTCCTGTTTTTGCTTACCTTTTAAATATTTTTCTAGGAAATACCATGTGCTCACTAGTGACCAGCTTTAAAGGAAGTTCTATTAAGAAGCCGTGACTAATGTAGTTTGACCATGTTGAATGTGAAAAGGTTACCCACCGGAGACAGTGATAGTTACGCAGTATCGCAGATTAGTTGGAGGCAGATTTATACACCATTGGACTCTAAATCACTGTGTTAGAGATCTAGCTTTCTTGCACGAAACCGAATGCCTTAGGTTCTGATCCCTGGTTGCGGGGTCGTTGGTGCACACTGATGAATTCCATACTAGAACTAAACTGTAGTCCAGTACCTCTAAATTTTCAGTGTTTGTCTAACACAGATCGGTTCATAATGTCGATATAATAGTGGAGGTTTTCGAACAACTAACACTTCCATCTTTGGTGTTAGTTGCATCAAACAAACAATCTGCTCGTTGTAGATAAAAATGGACAATCTAGTGTTTTTGTATCATGATAGCTGAATTAATATACTTCAGTCAATCGCAGATATTGTGAAAGTAATTTAGTCCAAGTTAAATTGAGTAAACTAGACGACTGAAATGTCAGTGATGAGAAGAATTCTACCCATTATCTTTCAACAGTTCTTGAATTAATGAAATAAAATTACCTAGGTTTTTTAATTCTAAGAATTTCTGTAAACTAAGTCTTATCAACTGCTTGTCTATTGATCCTTATGCAGAAAACTTTTCTGAGAACTTTTAACGTAGTTCATTAAATATTAGGGCATTACTTCAAAATTTTAATGTTTCTCGAATAGCACTTGTTTAAGTCGAATTCTGTATTTAAATGTGAGTAGTTTCTGTCGGTTATTAATGCGAAGATGAAGTTGAGTGAGAACATGTCATTTTAAAAGGCATCGCCTTGACTATCTACCATTGGATTTGAGAATCATTCCTAAATACTTTTGATTATAAATGAATTGTATTACGAGCTCATTACTTTCGATCGTTGTGTATTCTGCCGCTTCACTCTTATATGTGAATGCCCTAGTTACGTTAACGTTGATTATACAGCAGGTACGCTTAATCCTTTAAATTCATCCCCTCGTTTTGTAGCTTGTTATGGTATTCACAGTTACTTTCCCATTCTGTATGCTGTGCGATTGTGCATTAAAAAAAAATTCAAAGCTGTATCCCTTCATAAATATAGTTCCTATTTAACTACTAGTATTTTATGCTGTTGTGTTCCAGTTTCTGGATAAATATGACTAATCCAATGAACGATGAATCTATTTGGGATTCTGGTGAAGATGAGTCCGTAATAGATCCAGAGGTTCCCATTGGTATGTGTAGTTCCTACAGCTTAGATTTCAGCAGTGTGTCATTTAGTTTTATTTTCGTTTACCCAAGCCATTGGTTGTTTTTACACATTTGATTGTAAATGCAGTATTTATTTGCTACTTTTCTCACTGTAAGCCCGATACGGAATCCGAAGTTATCATTATGTCCAAGCATACATACATACGAATAAAGAATATAATGTAGTTTTTGTTAGGCGATCTCAATTTTCCAGGCACTTCCACAAATCACTTGATATTGTTTTACTTGAATCTTCCCATTTATGTTTAGGACTGCAATTGATCAGTCTCTTATTGGCATATGTGCATACTGTGTGTATTGCCTCGATATTGCCTTAATTTACAAGTATTCTAAGCAAAGATGGATAGTGGCTAGCAGTGGAATCCAGGACGGGCGTTTCATCCTATTTGGGACTCGTCAGCTGGATGTACCTTCATCTCAGAGTTGATGTTCACTCTGAGACTCGAACCCAGTACCGTCCGCATCAAACGCCATCGCCTTATCCACTTAGCTACTGAGCCCCAAATAGGACGAAATGCGCGTCCTGGATTCCACTGCTAGCCACTATCCATCTTTTCTTATAATACTTCCACAAATCCTTTATTATTGTGTATAAAATTTTATATTTATTGCTTATAGTCTGATGTCTTGTTGAACAAAGTAAGGTGTGATATACCCATATTTTGACTAGTTTACCGAAACAAGTATCTGTTCTCAGAATCTGTCTTACCCACTATTTATTTAGTCATAATATGAACTTGGTTATGTCCATTTTGTGGAAACTCATTGGTGGTAATCCAGAGTACCTTGTTTAGATCCGCGTACTAGATGTGATGAGTGGTTGGAGACGTATGATTCCACTCAACATCAGTCACTGTGATATTCTCTTTTTACCTCCCCTTAGATTCTTCAGTTACAGTATATTCTTTCATACATACCCTTTCATCCTGTGTTTTCCAACTATAATTTCAATGGTCAATTTTTCTCATCATTTTTAGTACGATTATTTTGATCTCTTAAAATTCATCAAACCGTACCAATGCTGTATGACGACTTAGTCCAACATATTTGCATCAGACTGTAGGTTGGTTATAATTTTTAAAAAGAAAACACTAATTTAATTCTTGAAATCGGCAATAAATATGTAGGCGTTCGTGCCATCGGTAAGGAATTGAAATAAACATTAACTTAACTGTCATTTTTTAACTAAATATGGGCGTAAATCTTCAGAGGACAGTTTTCGTACTTCGTTTTGTTGGCGATAAAGATTTGTTGATTACTGAAACTGCTCTTCTGTTAAACTCCGGAACGTGATTATTTATGAAGATTATTTAGTATAGCATCAGTGAAATCTCACATAGCTGGATAGGTATCTTTTCTAAATTCTGTGTCATTGTCAAAAGTTAGAGCGCACGTATTCATATATTATTGTATTGTCCGATATTTCATTGGATAACAACTCCCAGAAACCAAACGTTTAACAACTCAAAACTTTAAACTCCACAAGACCCAGACAAATCACTGGAGGAGTCTGAAATTAAGTATTGATTGCATGGCATGGTGCCTTAATAGGAAGTTCTAACTGTACCCTACCTTCTTGATCCAGTTTTCAGTATAGTTCAGCTGCATCGTTTTCTTAAGATCCTCCTTTCCCAAGCTGGTTAGTTGGTGAAAGGAATATTTCTAGTTCTCTGACAAAATCACACTTATTTTAGTTTTTCGCACACAACTTTCTTGTTTATACCTAGGAGTTATCAGATCCATACCTAGTTGAAATTTTATCTGTTCAATATTCGTTTACAACTCCTCTCACTCAATTCAACTTGGCATCTAGCTGACAATAAATTGGTTCAAGATGAAGTAAACAAATCTAGACATGTGTAATATTCTCATATGTTTTAACATGCCTCTATTGGAAAGATCACATAAAAAGAAGAGTATATTAGAATAAACATAAATAGGAAAAAAAATATAGTAATAAGATATTCATTTGTCCACACACTTGTGTTAAATTTGATCTAGAACCACTGATATCTAGCTTTTTAATTGTTGTCTTTCTAAAGCTTGTTTATGGAAGTTCATCAGACTTTTCTATAAAAGTCAGTTTCAAACGTTTTCCCATATCCTTATGAAGATTCTAGAGATTGTTGAATTTTATTAGGATCACGAACTGATCGAAATCGGACAATCATTGAAAAGCTAGAAGCACTGAGCGGCTGTTTCGTTCTAGTGTGGGACCCACCAACGCACACCCATGACCTTCGGTTTCTAGAACTAGTAACCTCTAGACCAGTGATTCGGAGTTCAGTGGTGTACTAACCTGACTCCAATCAATCCGTGATACTGAGTAACTATCTTTAACTGTTTTCGGTGGTTAACTTCTTCATACCCAACACGATTTGCTTGTTTGGTATGTACAATACATGATTTTTCTAAAAATTATGTGAAGTCAGATTATTGTTTGGATTACGTAATTGAGTTTTAAGTCCTTAAAAATTAATCACCAATATTTATTGCTCCTCTTGAAGCACATTCATAGTCTCTTTTAGAAAAGTCCTGCTCAACGCCTGTTCTTAAAAATGTGAAAAACTGAACAACTGTACTCTTTTATCTAGCAGCCGTAATATCAGCTACACAGTAGAACAGTATTAAAGTCTTCATTGTTTACTTGGCTCTGATCATATTTATTTTCGTTCTGTTTTCGTGGACTGATGCCACGTTTTGGTTTAGGTGCTGATATTTTTCTTCCTAAGTACTTCTACACGATGCTTAATAAGGTAGGTGGTAGTTCTATGTGCGTAACGCATGTCTTAGCTACTCCATTTAACGTAGACTCACACGGAGCAACATGTAGCGACCAAATGAAGGTCCACTAGTCTTTATTTCCCGACTCCAGTTAATTTATTGTTCACCACTTGAACTAGATAATCGGTTGAAAACCGGAGTTCTTTAAAAAGATGCTTAGTTTTAATATACGGGATTCCTGAACAATACTCACAGTTCCGCCGTAATTTGAATTGTGAGACCATAATGTATGAACGAACCAATAAGATATAAAATAACAGGTCTCGGATTTTGGCGCGAAATTCATTCATCCATTTGGCTAAATAACATTTTGGCTGATGTCAGTTCATGATGAAAACCCTAAATCAAATTTCTAACCCTAACCGTCAATTGTAAATCATAATTCTAATTCCTCATACTGGTTTGTAACCCTCATTTAATCCTAATTATTAGGTGGACACTCTTTGGTCTTCCTCCCCTCCGGCCTTGAGGATTCCATGTGAGGGCTTGCCTTGTGACGCAGTTGGGTGCTTTCCTCAATGTATGTCCCATCCACTTCCAGCGCTTCTTCCTCCGCTGGGATCTGGTTTGTTCTCTCCCACAGTAGGTTGTTGCTAATAGTGTCCGGCCAACGGATCTGAAGTATTTTGTGTAGACAACTGTTAATAAACACCTGTATTTTCCGGATGATGACTTTCGTAGTTCTTCAGGTTTCCACCCCATACAGTAGAACTGTCTTGACATTTGTATTGAAAATTCTGACCTTGGTGTTGGTTGCCGATTGTTTTGGATTCCAGGTGTTCTTCAGTTATAAATATGCTGCTCTTTCTTTGCCGATCAGTGCTTTCACATCTGCATCAGATCCACCGTGTTCATCAATGATGCTGCTCAGATATGTAAAGGTTTTTACATTTTCCAAATCTTCTCCGTCAATTGTGATTGGATTGGTGCATGCTGTGTTGTATCGAAGAATCTTGCCTTCCCCTTTCTGTATATTGAAACCTACTGATGCTGAGGCTGCTGCTACACTGGTCGTCTTCTTTTGCGTTTGTTGTTGCGTTTGCGATAGAAGAGCCACATCATCTATGAAGTCTAGATCGTCCAGCTGCATCCTAGCTGTCCACTGTATCCCGTGCTTCCCTTTAGATGTTGACGTCTTCATGATCTATTCGATCACCAGGAGAAAGAGAAAGGGTGAGAGTAAGCAACCTTCCCTGGAACCATTCTTTACTTCGAACGAGTTTGTCAACTGTCCTCCATGCACAATTTTGCAGGTTAATCCATCACAGGAATTCTGTATGATATTGACTATCTTCTCAGGCACGCCTTAGTGTCGAAGAAGCTTCCATAGTATTGTCCTGTCCATGCTATCAAGTGCTTTTTCGTAGTCCATGAAGTTGATGTAGAGCGATGAATTCCATCCAGTCGATTGTTCCACAATGATCTGTAGATTTGGTCTGTACACGATCTATCTTTACGAAATCCTGCCTGTTGGTCTCGAGGTTGGGCGTCTACAGAGTCCTTCATCCTGTTTAACAATACCGTGTTGAACACTTTTCCTGGTATTGAGAGAAGAGTGATGCCCCTGTAGTTGTCACACTTGCTGAGATCGCCTTCCTTTGGTATTCTGACCAGAAGTCCTTTCCAGTCTGTTGGTACTTGTTCCTCATCCCAAATCTTATTGAAGAGAGTATGGAGTGTCCTTGCAGTTACCGCTACGTCTGCTTTCAGTTCCTCTGCTGTAATGTCTGGTCCTACTGCTTTGCCAAACTTGATTTGTCTGATGGCCATGTTAATTTCTTCAATTGTTGGTGGGCCAACATCGATTGGGAGGTCCGTGGGTACTGCTTTGATGTTGAGTTTGTTCAGTAGGGCTGATCAATTCAAGAGTTCTTTGAAGGGTTCTACCCACCTGATTCGTTGTTCTTCAATGTTGGTGATTATCTTGCCTTCCTTGTTTTTCACTGGTCGTTCTGGTTTACAGTGGTTTCCAGAGAGTTTCTTTGTTGTGTCATACAGTTGTCTCATGTTTCCTTCTCCTGTAGGCTTTTCCATCGTCACTGCTAAATCTTTCACATATTTACGTTTGTCAGTTCTGATGCTCCTCTTCACTTGCTTGTTTACGTCTGTGTATTTAGCTTATGCCTTGACTTTTTCTGCTCTTGTTCGACTGGTATTGATTGCTGTCTTCTTTTTCCTC